AGCTACAGAAGAACTAGTTCTGTCTTGTTCAGAACACTGCTAAGAATGACTTGGCCTTTTTTGTTCTTTGCGACAGTGTCACACTATTTACTCATGTTTTACTAATGAGCCACTGCGGTCCCTTCCCCTACGCCACAGTTTGCCTTCACATTTCACATTTTGTATGTGTGCAACTGCTTGTTCCTTCCCGAAATCCATCCTTTGCTATTTCAATCAGCGACAGAGAGAGAGAGAGAGAGCGAGAGAGAGAAATGTATTTCCTGAATGGTAGAGACAGTTGGTCCCACTATGGGTCAGTTTCCACCTTGAGTAATTAGTCTACATAAGCGACAGTCTTTCTGTGACTTTAATGAACTATTAATTACTTGGTCTGTTAAAAGCTTAAAGGCTAGGACGTGGTGTGCGTGGTGGGTGGGGGGGAGGTGTCAACTTACAGGGCCATGGCCAAACAGGATAATGGCTTCACTTCAAGACACAGTCGATTAGTGATAGTTTATTTTATTAATCTCACTACGTCACTATTATTACTGGCTTAATACTGCCGAGAACTGAGGTCATGTTATTTATTCCACACTCGGCTCTCAGCTAGCAAGCATAGGGAGTTGCGGCTGATGAAGGCTGTCTGATAAAGAACACCTGGTATTTTCACCAGCAGGGCTCATGGCTGGCCTAGAGGAATACAAATTTAACACCTGCAGGCCCACATATGGCTTTTTCTGTGACAGGGTGTAATTGCATTTCAAAGAAAAGAAACACTGCCACCTCTTCACATACAATAGGAATAGAAATGTAGCCGTGTTAGTCTGGTGTAGCTGAAGCAAAATACAGGACTCTGTAGCACTTTAAAGACTAACAAGATGGTTTATTAGATGATGAGCTTTCGTGGGTCTGGCCCAGGAAAGCTTATCATCTAATAAACCATCTTGTTAAAGTGCTACATAGTCCTGTATTTTGCTTCTCTTCACATACACTGAGCCTGGTCTCTCTTGGATGTAGTTACTGAGTGAAACGGGTGAACACACTCAGGTTTCCCCCAAGCCCAGGTCAAATTCTAGTGGTGTGCAACTCTGGATGTCTTTCAGTGTAAATGAGGGCAGAACAGGGTGCAAGTAGCTGAGAAGTCAACTATTTTGTTTTGTGGACTCATATAGTCATTTGGTACTTAACTGCCATACAATGCTGCGTGTAGACAAATCTGATTACCCCAGAGAGTTTGGGTTATCAGTTGAGTTTGCAGAATATTTGGGTGGTGTGGTGTGTAATGATGAGCATAAGACCCTCCTACATAAGGAGCAAAGTCGCTTGGGTAGTGTTACGTGTGTGTGGTTGTGAGATGACGCTCTAGGAGATACGCTTGAGCCAGTGAGTGCACTAAGAATAATAGAGCGTAGTCATGGCAAGAGCAGCGAGGCTCCCTGAGGATGCAGCTCTCTGAGACCTTCCCAAAACACACATGCTATTTGCTTTAGCTCAGTCCCTGCTCCATGGCACCAGCCACACTCAACTCTTAGCATATGTAGTTTAAAGATAGCCAGCAGAAGTGTGCACATGCTAGAATTGTGTTCACACTTGGGGTACGTCTAGACTACAGGCTTCTGTCGACAGAAGTTTTGTCGACAGATACTGTCGACAAAACTTCTGCCGACAAAGAGCGTCTAGACGACATTGAGTTCTGTCGACAAAGCAAGCTGCTTTGTTGACATGATAGTATAGACGCAAAGGACAGTTTACATGCAATAACACCTTCTGTCGATGGAAACTCTGTCGACAGTAGGCGTTATGCCTCGTAAAATGAGGTTTACCAGCGTCGACAAAACTGCTGAGTTCTGTCGACGTTATGTCGACAGAACTCAGCGGTAGTGTGGACGCAGGTATAGTTTTGTCGACAAAAGTCCACTTTTGTCGACAAAACCCTGTAGTCTAGACACACCCTTGATGAACACTGTTGGCAGCAGTGACGTGGTGTTGTAGTACACATGAGTTTGAGCCAAATTCAGGTGTGGTGTAAATTAACGATTTTCAAATTGTTCATGTCATGGCCCAACTTAATTTGACTAGCATGTGGCTTCCAGGGTGGGGCAGAGGGGCGCTTTGGGCTGTAGGTGGGCATCAGGGCTGGAGTAGGAGAGGCTTAGCTTGAGCGGCGCCCATCAGTGGGGAGTCTAAGGCATTGCAGACCATGCTGTGATGCAGATGCAGATGCAGCCAGCAACAGGTTCTAGCCAATGGGAGGGTGGAGCCAGTGTTGGGAGTTGGGTCCGCTGTTCGCCGCCTCTGGGGCGCAGCCCAGTCTGCGGTGTCAGGACAGGCAGGAAGATGCCATAGCTTCTTCCCTGGTCACATAATCACCCCAGTGCAACAAGAGCCAGTGCCTGCCATTCCATGACCCAGTACTAAACCACTGGTGTAAGTAGATGCAACGCCAGTGGTAATCCATGTACTTGTCAAACAAGTATTTTCATTTCCTACAGAAATGAGACCTGGCATTTTGCTAAAGGGTCTAATTTTGCTCTTATGTCAAATGGAAGTCAACAGATTCACAACAGTGTAAACCCAGGCTGTGTCTACACTGGGCCACTTATTCCGGAAAATCAGCCGCTTTTCCGGAATAAGCTGTGAGCTGTCTACACTGGCCCTTGAATTTCCGGAAAAGCAACGACAGCCGCTATTCCGGAAAAACTATTCTGCTCCCGCTCGGGTATAAGTCCTTATTCCGGAACACTATTCCGGAAAAGGGCCAGTGTAGACAGGCCAGTAGTCTTTTCCAGAAAAAAAAACCCGATCGCGAAAATGGCGATCAGGGCTCTTTTCCGGAAAAGCGCGTCTACATTGGCCACAGACACTTTTCCGGAAAAAGGGCTTTTCCAGAAAAGCAGCCTGCCAATGTAGACGCTCCTTTTCCAGAAAAACTGAAAACGGAATAGTATGCCGTTTTAAGCAGTTCCGGAAATTCATGCCAGTGTAGACATAGCCTCAGTGTGTGAAAGCAGACTCAATTTTGAGCTAGTATTTCTTGTGAGATAGATGCTTGTGGAAAATGTCTGTAGTACCTGTGCCATATATTTATAAAACACTTGTAAAATAGATGGTTTGCCAATGAGGAAGATTCTAGGCTTTGCAGCTGTGAACTTTGATCCCAGCAGTATGAAGCCTGTAATAAATGCAAAGTCAAGGCAAGGCTGCTAGAAAACACTGTCATTTATTTTGATAATAAGTAACTTCTTTAATGCAAACAGAAAAAGTGAATTCACTGCAAAGTTATATGCCTGGTAAAAAGCATTAGCAATTAGAAAAACAATGTTAGATACATGCAAATTATAATGAATGTTGGCAGAATTTCTGATAAGGTATTTTCTTCCATGTGAAGAGGAAGCAAACCATATCCGGCTTGTGTCAAAGGGAAGACTGAAAATTCTCTGGGGCTACGGGTACACTGGCAGCTTCTTGCGCAAGAACTGTTTTGTGGAAGAGTTCTTGCGCAAAAAGTCTTCCACAAGAGCGCATCTATACTGGCATGCGCAAGAGATGTGCTTTTGCTCAAGAGCGTCTATAGGAGTGTGGACACTCTCTTGTGGAAGAAAGCTCTGATGGCCATTTTAGCCATAGGGGTTTCTTGCACAAGAAATTCATGTTGCCTGTCTACACTGCCCTCTTGCACAAGAGCTCTTGCGCAAGAGGGCTTATTCCTCGGGGGGAGAGGAATAACTCTTCTGAAAGATCCGATCCTAGACTTTAAATTTACTTGCGCAAGAATGTGCGTGCAGTGTAGACACCCAGCAAGTTTTTAACGGAAGAACAGCTTGCGCAAGAAGCTGCCAGTGCAGATGTAGCCTGAATGGATGAAGCCGAAAGAGGTGGCACTCATGCCTGAGCCAGGGAGATGACACTATAAAGTTATTCAAAGAACAGGACACAAACAGAAGCAAATGGCTACATTTCATTCCAGGAAATCAGGCATACTGCAATGCTATACAAAGATAGGACTCACTGCAAATTCCAGCTATAACTGCCCCTGAACTTTTGGGAAGACAGGATCCAGGTTCAAAGCCAACAGTGCAGGTCCCATCTCCCTTTTTCTATCCAAAATTCAAAACCATTTATCTTCAAAAAATGTAAATAAGAAAACACTTTTGGTCACTGGGCGTACTCTATAGTACTACAACTCTTCACTTGACTTCGCCTGCCTACCCCAAAATGGCAGCATATTAAAAAATTTCTCAAGAAAAAGATTTTTGTTCATTTTTTTTCTAGAAACATTCTGTATTGTAATAAATACCTGTTAGTAACAAACCTTTCCCTTTTACGTGGGCCTACACCAAGCTTTGCAGCTAGTCCCCAAACCCCTGTCTCGGGTACAGCGGTGTAAATTCCAAGTCATTTCCTGAAAGCAATGGACTCATTTACAGTTGAGGGACTGGCAGACAAACCCTAGGTCCAAATTCACACTCAGTATGGGACCTCTTCCTGATCCACTCCTGGTAAGGTCAGTGAGCAAGGCAGCCTTTCCAGTTTCCACGTGGTGACAGGAAGGTGGCAAGAGATTGGATAGGGCTCATATTCCTTGGCCTGACCCCCTCCGCATAGCAGGTGCATTCCCTTACTGCCTAGTGTAGGGGAGTATTCCCTGGTTGTTTTGTCATTGACCGATGCTCTGTTCAGTGCCGTTTGAATTCCGTATGGGTATAGGTTTAAGTTGGTCTTCATTAGGCCTGTTGACAGGAGGAAAGGGGGCAGTTGTTCTGGGGCCCAGTGATTTAAAGGGGCCTGAGGTTCTTTGCTGCTGCTGCAGCAGTGTACTGGATAAAAATACTGGTGCAAAAGCGCCAGGCCCTTTAAATCACTGCCAGTGCCAGGGCACCGGGTCACACATTCTGAGGGTTGGAGGAGGGGCGTGCCATGCTTCAGGCGGCGCAGAGGGCTGCCTGCCCCTAGCCCCTCCACTTCCAGGAATAAGTCTCCCCTCCCCCTCGCCCCCGAGGACCATGACGGCTGTATCTCCCCCCCTCGCCCCCGAGGACCATGACGGCTGTAGGTTCCACTGGTCTCCATAAGGATCCTCCTTAGGATTCATCATCTACAAGAGAGAAACTGTTAAAGCCATGATTTTGCTAGACACAGTACGAATGATCTCTTCGCAAAACAGCTACTTCTACAAATTCCATTTGCTGTTTTCTTTTCTTGGGTGCTATTTAAGGAACTGGCATTACCATACATTGGTGATACAGTTTTGGAGGACTTTTTTAGAGAGAGGGAAAAAAGCACAGCTCAACACTCATGTTTCAAAATACATGGCCAGCTTAACAGACTATAACTATACACCTTGAGCACATTTTAATGATCTCAATGAAAAGAAAGAAGTTGACATGCATGATGCGAGGAAACTGATGAAGCAACACTCAAAACCATTGCGTGTGTAGACATCAGACCATGTAAATCAACATTTAATAAGAACCTTCATAGGTGAGGTATCAGTTTTAAAGTGTCCTTTTCAAAGTACCCAATCAAGAGACACCCAGCTGAACACATGAAGTTTCCTGCTCAGAGCTGCATTTATTTGTCAGAGTCCCAACTTCTTGACTCTCCCAACCAGTGTCCTCTTCACTCTCTGCTAAGCCCTCTTGACTTTCCAAGTCGCTCATCTGGCCCTCTCCGAACTCCAGAATGGTTGGTAAGTTGCCTTGCTTGGGACAGCGTTTCTTGAGGCTGACCAAAAATGGCTGCGGCAAAGAAAATATGTCCACGTTGTTGCCCAGATCAATCCACGTCACGCTGGAGAACTTCCTGGGGTCCTTCAGCGTTTCTGTCAGGTCCCGAAGGATTGCTTTGGTGAGTCTGTTGCCATTCAGGGAGAGAGTGGTGAGGTGAGGCAGGCCACTGAGGATGGGCAGAAGCTGAAGGAACAGCTCGTCAGTCAGCTCCGTGAAGCATAGCTCCACGTTGTCAATGTGCTCCGAGCTGTGTTGCAGGAATGAGATGATGCAGTCCAAGTCCTTCAGCGTCAGAGGGATACCAGAGAGATCTACTGTGTTGTCATGAGGCATCCCCACCAGGATAGCTTTCAAGCTGTACAGAAACAAAATGACAACCAGTTAACATGGGCACCACTTATTTTACTAACAAGCATCACTTCTTGCGTGCTGGCAGCTTTTGAGGGACAAGGCAATGACTCATTCAAAATGGATGGCAGACCCTCTCGGTTGAGGCCTGGACTTTTAAGTTCTTTTTGGTGTGCAGACTTGCAGATGGATAACAGCCAAAATCAACCTACTCAAAGACTGTCATTGAAACAGTAGGCAGCAACGAGCGTATGGAAGCTTTCTTTTTGCAAGGGCATGGAGCTGTACACTTAACTGCACTTTAAAACTACAAAAATGGAAAATGACTATTAAACCTTTGTACAGAAAAACAAGAATTCTTGCTTATGACCTCATTCCCACTTGACATCGATATGTATATTGCAAAGCACTTCACCAGATGGAATAATAAACGTTGCAGGTGGGGATAGTTTACAGGTGGAGAAATGGAGGCACGGAATGGACCTACAGAGTCTACAGAGAAAAAGGCCTAGGAAAGGCAGGCTTATTTAATATTTCCAATGATTTATAATGATATCTACTATTGATCTTTTTTTTGGCTGCTATGGTGCTGAGCACTATAGGCGCTGAGCACTTTAGGCACCTGTGAAAGCTGATCAGCATCTCTGACAAATTGGTGTTATACAGATCAACTTTGCTCTTAAAGTGAAGCCAGGCTACAGCTGTATTAGGATAACCTAACCACACAGAGTACCCTTAGTTGAGGCTTTATCGCTTATAAATTTAAAGACTGAGGGAGGTCTAGCTGTGTAACATTAGTTAATATTTTAATCTGCCACAATGATAGAGCCAAGTCAGCCTGCCATGTATATGCCTCTGACTTTCATCATGTGCTGAGCTGAAAAACAGTTTTGTTATATTTTCCATTGGGATTTCTGGTTTGGCCAGCTTCACATTTTCTCATTAATTATCTAGGACTCTGTTCATGATTTTCAGTGTGAATCAAGGGATTAAACCCTAAGCCTGGCTTTTTTAGACTATGAACATGTAGCACATCAGTGTTGGAAACGTACACCAGAAGCAGTCCCACGGACGTCCGTAGTGACTAGGCTGTGAGGGTAAGGTGTGAGCCCCTGGCTTATTGGTGTACTCAGAACAGGTGTTATGTATTTGAATGCTTGCTTCTGCAAGGACTGTGAATAACAAGGGAAAGAAAAGCTGTAAGATCTTTTATTGTCAGACATCTAATGGGAACAGATATGCCTAAACAAATAGGGTTGCTAGATGGTTTCAACAAAAATACTGGACACACTTGAGATTATATCACAATCTACATTACATCTTATATAGAAAATACCGGACATTTATATCTTCTCAATTTGTTTCCCGAACATTTTGAAACGACTCTTTGAAATTAAGGATGAAGTTTTATTGTTTTTGGAACGACACCCTCCATCGGCAAAAGATGGTATACAGTAGACTTCCGATAATCCGGAACCTATGGGACCTAGGTGGTGCCGGATTATCAGATATGCCGGACTATCAGGAGGTACTATAAACTGGTTATGTATATACTGTATACATTATACTGTATATAAAGTGTTCCTAAGCCTTTTTATTGTACATACTGTATAAAGTATACTGTAAAGTTTTAGTTTTTTTAAGCCTTTTTTACCCTGTTTGCTCAGCTCAGTTCTGCTGCTGCTGTTACCTTGTGACTCATTTTTTGCTAAAGCTCACTCACTAGGCTCTTGCCATTTTGATACCGGACTATCAGGAGTGCTGGACTATTGGATGCCAGACTATTGGAGTTTTACTGTATTTACATTTAAAGAATGGTTAACAATGGTAGCTTACTTAAGTGACATATTTTGTCTTTTAAATGACTTAAATCTGAATTTACAAGGCACTAAAATTAATATTTTTAAAGTTCACGAAAAAGTTGAGGCAACAATTAAAAAACTTTGTTTATGGGCACAGCGAGTTAAGAGAAACTTTAAATCTTTTTGTACTTTAACTGAATTACAAGAAAAATATGCTGAAACTAATATCTCAGATGCGATTTCTGCAACATCTTTTGGGGCTAACATCAAGCTTAAATTAATATTTTCCTCCAATTGATGCCAGTAAAATGTGGATTAAGAACCCGTTTACTGTTGACACAGAAAATGAAGAAATATTACAATTGAATGCATCGGAAGTGGATTCATTAATTGAACTTTCCTGTGACTCTGCCTTAAAAGAGAACTTTGATAAACTCTCCTTGATTGATTTTTGGTTGAGCTGTAGCAATGAAGAGTCACACTTATCTGAGAAAGCAGTCAAATGCTTAATGCCTTTCGCCACGACATATAAGTGTGAAACCAGTTTCTCATCTTTGGTTTTCTTCAAAAATAAATATAGAAATAGACTGAATGTCGAACCAGATTTGAGAATAAAACTTTCTTCTTTTGCTCCTGACATATAGTTGCTATGTGATGCAAAACAACATCACCCTTCCCATTAGTTCTCTTTTTAGTTATTTAAAAGCTATAAAGTGCACACATAATAAATGACTTATATTCAACTCATTCAATTATAAATAAACAAACTTTACAACGGTTAAAATTCTACTGGGTAAACTGTAATTAAGGTAATAACAATAAGTTAGGCAATATTTTATATCAAGATATATATTATGTACTATTATTATTGTGAATAAATAATAAACAGTGAAAATTTATTCATTTTTCATTTTTTTATATGCATTTATATTTTTGGGCTGCAAAAAACGGTGCTGAAAAAAACCGGGTTCCAACTAAAATAAAAAGTTTGGGAAACCCCAGTCGAGCCAGCTTTCAGTCCATCTTACAGTCTATGTATCCAATCCATATTCCCTTAACTTGCTTGCAAGAATATTGTGGGAGACCGTATCAAAAACTTTGCTAAAGTTGACACTGGGGGCTTTGAGAGGACCAGAAACGATTTATTTGCATATTAATCATTTGCTTAATGAATATGCAAATATGCAAATAAATATTACCAGTTCTCCAAAAGCTCGTGAATGGATTTACTGGTAAAAAAGTTTGGGAAATGAACTGGTGAGGGGAAAAGTGCAGTTAGAACCTCAGCAGGAGGTTCTGAAGGCACCAGAAAAGGGGCTTCATCCTGGCGCATTCTAGGTAGGCGTGTGCTAGGTTTTCCCTCACGCCACAGAAGGGGCAGGTGTCAGGGATAGGGGCGAACCATACCAAGTACATGCCTGTGCTCATGGCTCTGTAGATTAGAATGGAATACACACTGGCCCATTGGGGTTCCTCACACTCGACAGGTGTTAACTAGTCTCGCCATTTGGTATTGGGCCTGCAAGCGGCCCTCAAGGTAGCTTTTGTGTCCCCCATTTCCAGTTCCCTAGGGGGTTCTCTGTTCCCTCCGCCACCCCCTCCCTCGCCAGGGATGGAGATGGGCAGCATGGCACCACCACTTCTGGCACTGTGCCGGGGATCTGATCCCTGTTTGCCTATCTCCACGGCCCGCAAAGTCCATCCAGGGACCCAGCTGGAGGAAGACCCATCGGTCCTGGCCTCCTCAGTGCTGAGGGCCGAGCTGCGCCAGTTCCTTGAGGACAACCGCGGAGCTAAGGACAAGGTGCAGCTTGCCCTTTGGCACTGAGGGGACTCTATCCCCATCCTCAGGGACATAAGAGCCCTGTTGCAGGAGAGGAGAGACGTAGAAAGGTAGGACATCGCGGCCTACTGCCGAGTCTGCAAATGTTGTGATGCTCTCCTGGCCTTCAATAAAGGGAATGGTCTGCTACAGGACCTGGGAGTGGGGCGACGATCACCCTGTCCACGACGATCCACCCTAGCCCTCAATATGAAGTATACCATTATTGCGACATTAAATGCCCGGGGCTGTAGGACGGGTCTCTGTAGGAGCTGGGTGCTCTCCTTCCTTTGGGGGTACTCGGTGGTCTTCTTGCAGGAGACCCACACAACTCCAGCCATCAAGGCTAGCTGGCGGCTGGAGTGAGGGATGGGGTGTACTTTAGTCACCTCAGTATCTGCTCAGCCAGAGAGGTCACCCTGTTCATCACTGCCCTAGGGCCCAAGGTGTTGGGGGTCGCCAAGGTCTTCCCGGCTCGCTTGCTGCACATCTGGGCTTGCGTGGAGGGGCTGATGTTGAACTTGGTTAACATCTATGCCCTGAATGTGGACCTGGAATGTATAACCTTCTATCCACAGGCAACCACCTTTCTCGGCACCTTGGATCCTCACAAATGCCTGGTCCTGGGCAGGGACTTCAACACAATCCTTTGGACCAGGATAGCTCAGGAGTTGAGAACTGCCAGACCACCACTCCCTGGTGGATGTCTGCTGCTACCACCACCCGGATGACACCACCACCGTCACCTATGTCCAGTTGGAGGACGATCGGTTGCACCACTCCCGGTTGGACTGCATAGACTTATCTCATTTCCACCTAGCATGGGTCCACTCCTCCAGCCTCCGGCTGCTCCCCTTCATGGACCACCATCTGGTGGCTGTGAAGGCCTTCCTCAGTGTGGAGAGGCTGGGGCTGGCCTATTGGCACTTTAATAATAGCCTGGACGATGTGGGCTTCGTGGTGTCCCTCCAGGGGTTCTGCCTTTCCCTTAGCACCGCAATGGTGGAACATGGGGAAGGTGCATACCTGGTTCTTCTGCTGGAGGAGGGATGCAGCAATAGAGCAGCTGGAGCAGGAGGTTTTGAAACTCGAGATGTGCCTGGCATCCAACCCTGAGGATCCACGCTGGAAGAAGCAAGAGTAGCTCTGGGCCCCCGAGGACCTCCAGGTCCAGGGCGCCTTTGTTTGATCTCCTATCCATCTCCTTTGAGAGATGGATCCCAGCCCTGGAGAAAGAGAGGGGTGCCGAAAAGCACGCCACCTGTCTCTTGGCAGAGAATGGCACCCCGTTCATGGATCCGAGGAGACACAGGACCTTCTACGCCAGCTTATTCTCCCCGTATCCGACCAATGCCGACACCTGCAGAGTGTTCTGGCCCCTTT